CAGTCGTTCCGTTCCGTTTCGTTCCGTTTTTTACCGTTATATTATTCCGTTAAAAAACTAAGGGCAATCGAAGGACTTTGCCTAAACTCCCCACGCTTGTATTAGGTTGTTATTCTCAGGAACTACTGGTCCGATTTTAAAAATGTTTTTTGTGTTGGATAGCCCGTTAATTGAGGAAGGCTTTAGGCTATAACATCATCCTATAGGCAATAGGGACGGAGCAGTAAAGAAAAATGTTGCAAAAACGGGAAATATTCCAACAATTTTCACCCGTACGAAATCGCGGGAACAGCTAGTTAATTTAATAAGGCCATTTTATATCAACATAGTGACAAAACTATCGGCCAATACAGTCCAGATAGTTCCACGTATCAATTGATTCAGTGAATGAGGGATTAGGGATTATCCTTGTCGCGTGACCTTACAGCCCTCGCGCGTCCTACACACACACACAACCACAGTACATGTACTTAACTACACTCGGTGTCAAATAAATCGCACCTCCCGCGACAAACACTTTCAAGTGTATGATTCTCCACTTCCCACCAATATTGGTATCATTTGAAAGCAGTTCTAAGCTTTATTTCACTAAAGGAAAGGTAGGGAAACCCCAAAAATGTGTCTATAGAAGGATCCAGTGTCTCTTCTTAAAGCGACAGTTAGTTACGCTTAAGCCAACTTTTACGGTTATGAAACTGTTAAATTGAGATTAATCGCTATCCATCTGTTAAAGAGGACACGTGAGATCATTATTATCGTTTTAAAACCACAAAAATTGGCCTAATTGGTCCTAGAGGTGAGCACCAAGTGAAGCTTTTCTCAAGTCATATTTATTTATTTATGGAAACTAAATGTGTTTTTCTTTAAGTTTATTTAATGAGCTTTTAAATGATACCAATATTGACGGATAACCATGTTTGTTAGAAGAACATCTTAAAAGTAATTGTTGCAGGAGGTGCGGTTTATTTGGAGCCGAGTGTACATAATGTACACACAGCTGGGGGCACTTTTACGTCCACACTCCCAGGTGTGAGTGTTGACACATTTCAAGACAAGTGGGAATAAACGACATCGAAATACTCGACCTCACTTCACTTCTAAAACGGGTGAAAATTATGTAGGGTTTTCGAAGTGATGACGTTCGTCCGACGACGTCCTCTTCTATTTTTTTGTGGGAGGAAAATTTTAAATTAAATTAATTTAAATTAATTTAATTTTAAATTAATTTAATTTTAAATTAAATAAATTTAAATTAATTTATGTTAATCCCATAAAAGTAGAAATAAGGTATTTATTCCTCCTACTACGTTATGATGAGAAACTAACTTCTTCTTTCTCTGGAAGAAATTTTCTAGATGTTAATTGTCGGTTGAAAGATTTTTTGAGATTTCAACATTTCCCTAAAGAAAGTTGCTGTATTTGTGTAATAAAATCTCCATTCGTCGCATCCTAAATCACCGTGTACCTACCTACGGTATGCCAAGATAAGTACTGAGTAAATATTTAGTTGTATTAAGTACTATTTCGCAAAAAATAAAAACATAAGACTAAAAATGTTTGTTGAAAAACTCGCACTTATTTAAACCACATCGTGTCACGGTATTTAGCTTGATGTACTGTCGACTCTACATACTGTTATATACAAGACATAACGTGCAAGTCGTAGTAGAAGGAGCCTCTGCCGGAGCTTAAAGATCTGGAGTACCCAGCTTGTATGTGATCCAGGAGTCATACACCGAGCTGACCAGCCCCAAGCCGCATGATGAGCCTCTAACTAAAGTGTGTCGACGGCTGGACGACGTGGGTCAGCAAGCACACGCCCGAGGCGGCTCCTCGCGGGGAGTCCGTAGACAGCACAAGCCCACGCATCCCCAGAAATAAACAACATTCGGAAAATGGATGTAAATCTTCGTTATTAAGAAGCGATTTAACGACCGAAATCTGGTGCGACACATTAATACAAGAGCCATAAAGCAACGGTCGATTGCTTTTCTAGGTTCATTAGTTTTATGTTCGCTTATTTGGCCGTTGTTATTGTGATTGTGGGATGTTATTGTGTTTGAGAGATGTTATTAATTTTCCGAAAGGACATTGCTTGTTTATCGTAGAAAGGATAAATAAGAATGTCCTTTTTCCTGTATTCCATGTTGAAAATGAAGGAATATTTAAGGAATAAATAGGTGGGACGTTCACCCAGAAGATGGACTGACGATCTCATGAAAGTAGCAGGAAGGCTAAGGATGCAGGCTGCTATAACTAGGCGATGTGGAAATAATTGAGGGCCTATGTTCAGTAGTGGACGTCCAGTGTCTGAAATGATGATGGTGATAAAATGGGTGATCAAGAACAATGTGCACGTTACATAATAAGTACATAATATCATACAATATGCGAATGTAATCCTGTCTGTCTGTAACGCTTTCACGCCTAAACCACTGAAACGATTTTGATGAAATTTGGTATAGAGATAGTTTAAGTCCCGGTAAAGGATATAGGATAGTTTTTACATCGGTTTTTGAAACAGGGACGAACGGGACAATGTTTTTCTGTGACAGACAAAAATTTTTTACGTAGGCGAAGTCGCGGGAAAAAATCTAATAGATTATATTCGAGGAAAACCCTTTGAAGAAAAACCCATTGCTTGTATGGACTATGGATCATATTCTGACAATACCTACATTGTTGTAGCGGTGTGGTAGGTTAAAATATATTGACGCGGACGTGTAAAAGCGCTTTTGTAAGGCCTTACAGCGAAAAATAATTACAGTATGACGCAAAAGAGGGTGATGTATTTATTTTTTACCTTTACTAAGTAGAACATAGCTTACATAAAAACCAAAAGGTATATTTGTTGTATACTTTGACATGAGTTTTATCATATTTAAATTTATGTAATAGAGAAAGATATCAATCTTAGTCTGTTTGCTGTATCTCTCTTAACAACTGAAATACTTAGGCTGAATTGCACCACCTAACTTTGACAGTAACTATAACGATTCTTCTTCTTCTTTTCGTGTCGACAACAAACCTACACAGTGTCAGCCCAAAACTCCGCCACAAGAGTGGCGTTGTCAGCAGCACTCATCAAATCCTCCTGAGTGCAGTTGCTTGGGCACTCAGGGCACGACATCAGGTGCTTCATCGACTGGGGAACAAAACCGCACCTGCACTCCATGTTTAAGCCATCCAAGAATCCCCACCTGACCAACTATAACGATTACCGGTGTTTTTGTAGGGAGTTTGACAGATTTTTGACGCTTGTCAAAGTTAAAGTAAGATGGTGCAACCCAGCTTTATAGTTTTCTAAAGCGGTGACAAATGTTACCTACCTAAATAAAAACACGTTACAACAACAAAAATGACAATACAAACTTTTAGATTATTACTTCGCTAAAATGTAGAGGTACTTATGTACCTACTTACTGAAATAAGAAATATCTATAATAAATTGTTTTATACTGTCATTAAATCATAAAAGTTATACGACTTTCCTCAGTAGTCGACAAACAATTAGTGAGTAGGTTTTCTCAAGATGTTTTTCCTTTTGTTCTCGCTGTCTGCGATTGTTTTTTTAGTTTGTTTGTTGTTTATGTTTACTCAAGTAGTGTTTATAAGTTAATGTTTAGACTACAGATTGCGATGCTATGATGATTTCCTGATTTTTCACTTTACTGTTCTTATCTGCTCCTGGTTTCGTCCGATGGTTGAATAAATAGATGATAATATTAACTTATAGAGTTCTACCTATAGGTTCAAATCAAATCAATTTGTTTTTTATTCAATTTTGACCACTGGTGGCACTTATTATCTTCAAATTTGGTTCATGTATCACCTTGTGCGTCCACGCGCACTGTGAGACCAATCTATGTATTTATTTCCGATTTGGTTAGAATACTGCAGGCTTAAAATAAACACGATTGTATATTTCGGAGGCCACGTCAAGCTTTCATTCCAATTCGCGGCTCACCAGGTTTGACACCTTAAAATGTTGCTTAGCTACCCTTTGTAGTTTTGAAAAATTGTATTGTGAAATCAATTCAGAATAGGAATCTAGTGAAATATCGCTATACACCTATACAAACTGTATGTAATTGCTTATCAAAAAATGTAGAGAAAATCTTTTAAATAAAATGGATGAATGCTTCTCTAATATTCCTAGATTTTATTTTTAGGCAGTGAGCCAACTTAGTACTCTTACTTATAAAAGCAACCATTTAGCACGTTTATCTATCTTTACAAAATCGTTTACGGTGATATTTTATGATAGTTGCTTGCCCTGAAGTTTACTTCGACTTTGGGCTAGGGACATAGATTCAATTCCTGGAGGGGCCAAAATTTGGTAGTACTAAATATAACATCCTCAACTTGATTCATGTGCGTAAATATTTCATTTTTGCTTTAAATTCTAAGAACATACTTTATTTTTCTAAGATAACACATACAAGAATATATTTAGAGTCAAAGTTTAAGCGGATAAGATTGATTACACATTAAAAAATATAAACATCAAACATATTATTATACCTAAAAGTAAGTGCCTTGATTTAAAATATTTGCAGCACCTAGTTCCCTCAAAAATGCTCAATATTCATATAAAAATACCTCAAACTTTAAAAGAAAGGTACTTAGATTGTGCCTTAGTAGGCGGTTTTCAGGCTCTAATAGTTTCTAAAGGTAAGCCATGTAATTAATTAATTACACAAGGTAAATCTTACCTTAATAAATTGAGCAGGTCTAATCTATTAAAAAAACTGTAACTTTTTTGTTTATACCGGTAAATGAACCCTTAGATGCGTTCATGCATTTAAGACTAATTTTTTTCTTTTAAAAGAGTGATAAATAAGAAATACAATTAAATACATTAATTATAACAAACTTTGAAAGTAATAACGAGAAATTCATTCAACAATTTTCAGTCAACATTTTCAGGTGACGATTTTCTCACGTGCTCACAAAATCAACTAACATAGATATTTTACTAAACACATAAAAATACTTACAACAAAACACAAGAGCACATCCATAACACACACCCACAAACACAATCCGGGTCTCGTTTGCCCGGGTCGCGGTGCACCGGCGTGCGGTCGCGGCAGGAGCCTGCGTCACTCTGCCGACCGGGTGCGAGTATACTCGTGTATATACGTGTATACTTGTGTTCTTAGGACCCAACGGCTTTTAAGTTGGACGATTGGGACGGTGTGAACGTAACGGGGGACGTTTCTGAGGAGTTTTTGAGATTGGGCGTGCTTTTGAATGGTTTGTGATGACGTGTATATGAAACGAAGCTGATAATCGGTGAATCTTAGGATAGATTCAAGTACAGTACATTTAACCTCAATTACACTCGATTTTACCTAAGGGTAGAGTCATACTTTAATTAATCGTATTTATACAGACCCGTATTACGAAACTACGCGAAGTTCAAAACTCTTTGTCAGTACTAAACTCAAGCAAAGATTTTGCCCTTTATTCAATAAAGAGATAATAATTATGGGATCGAAAAATACTTGATGCTTACGGTACCTACAGAGTGTAGTAAAATACGTCTCTGCTTAAAGGTCATTGACGAAAATCTATGATTTTGTGGATAATTGAATTAAATATTCTTAAAAGATACACCAAAAACGAAAACCAAATTCAGGAACTTTTTTACGTATGCGTGTAAGTAACACCTGTATTCACAAACGATGCTTGCTTAAGTGAAGCAGGAAATCGAACGCAGCGTTGAATAGAGCTTTGTGATTAGTTCGTGTGTCACCTTGTGCGTCCACGCGCACTGTGAGACCTCGTAGTAATGTTTTGTACGTACATACTAGGCTACAAATGTTTTGAGATGTAATAGGACCTATTTTGTAAGTAAAATGTATCCAATGTACTGTAGTCCGTACAATTTTCATTGTTCGTGCACAAACAGGCAATTTCCAATTCAATTACATCCACTTTTTGTTCGTAAAGTTTTTCGTTTTGCGAAAATATAAAACTCAATTGCTACATGATATTTTTTGCGCCGTGATTCTTTGCTGGAATTAGAAAATGTATATTAACATCTATTCAAGTAGTATGAAAATGAGAGAAAGAAAAATGTATTACAATGAACCATCAAATTAAGTAAGGCCTAAATAAGGACGTTAAGAAAACCTTGGAGGAGGCCTTTGTCCAGGAGTAAACANTAGGCTATAGCATCATCCTATAGCCAATAAAGACGGAGCAGTAAAGAAAAATGTTGCAAAAACGGGATATATTCCAACAAATTTCACCCGTATGAAATCGCGGAAACAGCTAGTTAATTTAATAAGGCCATTTTATATCAACATAGCGACAAAACTATCGGCCAATACAGTCCAGATAGTTCCACGTATCAATTGATTCAGTGAATGAGGGATTAGGGATTATCCTTGTCGCGTGACCTTACAGCCCTCGCGCGTCCTACACACACACAACCACAGTCCATGTACTTAACTACACTCGGTGTCAAATAAATCGCACCTCTCGCGGCAAACACTTTCAAGTGTATTATTCTCCACTTCCCACCAATATTGGTATCATTTGAAAGCAGTTCTAAGCTTTATTTCATTAAAGGAAAGGTAGGGAAACCCCAAAAATGTGTTTTTAGAAGGATCCAGTGTAGAGACACGACAAGTAGTTACGGTCGAAACTTTTACGGTTATAAAACTGTTAAATTGGGATTAATTGCTACCCATCTGTTAAAGAGGACATGTGAGATCATTATTTGGTCATAAAACCACAAAAAATAGTCTGAATAGTCCCAGAAGTGAGGCACAGCATTGTCTTTTTTCAATTTGTTTTTCTTTAAGTTTGTTTATTGGGCTTTCAAATAACACCAATATTGATGGAGAACCATGTTTGTTAGAAGAAACTCTTAAAAGTAATTGTTGCAGGGGGTGCGATTTATTTGACGCCGAGTGTATATAATGTACACACAGCTGGGGGCACTTTTACGTCCACACTCGCAGGTGTGAGTGTTGACACATTTCAAGACAAGTGGGAATAAACGACATCGAAATACTCGACCTCACTTCACTTCTAAAACGGGTGAAAATTATGTAGGGTTTTCGAAGTGACGTCAATCTACGTTTTCATGGGAAGAAAATTTTAAATGACATATACGAAAAAAATAATATAAATATTAGTTCCTCCGCTTTTTAATGACAAATCAACTCCTTCTTCCTTTGGAAGAAATTGTTTTGGGAGACTATAAAAAGATTTTTGAGATTTCGACTTTCCCCTAAAGAAAGTTACTGTATTAATTTGTGTGGTAGAATCTCTTTTCGCTCAAACACCGCATCCAATATCACCGTGTATGAACGACGTTATATTATCAAGGTAAAACTTCGGCCAAACCAACGCGTGCAGATCACGATCGCGAGTGTCTGATGGCGATCACTGCGCGTGCATAGATCGCCGCGACCAATGCGTTGATGTGAACTCATCGTAACTCATCTTCATACACAACCTCTGGGCCCCGATTACGCTAAAAATTTTCATCTTCAACGTGCCCGGTCAACGAACGAACATCAGCTGTTTTGACAAATCCGTATCGCGGTGTCGTTTTGACAGCTAGTTGAAACGAAGCATAGACGTAAACGTAAAGCTAAATACCTATTATCTCGTGTGACAATGAAAATACTAGGAAGGTACGTCCATTACCGTGATACAGAATTTGCACCTCATCTGGAATGAAAAACGGAGCAACTGGAGAAGAAGCGCGTGTGTATTGGAGACGTTAAAAATTAGCGTAATCAGGGCACTGATCGCCATCGCGCACGCAGGCTGCATGCGTAGGCTTGCCGGGACCTTAAGACTGAGTGGCATCTTAATAAACATACTAGTTAGGTGCTATGTTCCAGCAATATAGTCAGTTATGTACAGAGGACACACAAAGAAATGCATTTTGTTGCAAACTTGATGTACTATCGACTCTACATGATGTTTATGTACATAACCACTTGCCATAATTACGTGGAATCATAATATTTATACGCATCCACGGAAATAAAAGGCGTCCGAAGAATGGATGTAAATCTTCGTTATTAAGAAGCGATTTAACGACCGAAATCTGGTGCGACACATTAATACAAGAGCCATAAAGCAACGGTCGATTGCTCTTCTAGGTTCATTAGTTTTATGTTCGCTTATTTGGCCGTTGTTATTGTGATTGTGGGATGTTATTGTGTTTGCGAAATGTTATTAATTTCCCGAAAGAACACTGCTTGTTTATCGTAGAAAGGATAAATAAGAATGTCCCCTTTTCCCATGAAATCATGGCAGTTAAGAATCAAACATGCTGAAAATGAAAAAAATATTTAAGGAATAAATAGGTGGGATGTTCACCCACAAGATGGACCGACGACCTCATGAAAGTAGCAGGAAGGCTAAGGATGCAGGCTGCTACAACCGCTGGTGATGTGGAAATTATTGAGGGAATATGTTCAGTAGTGGACGTCCAGTGTCTGAAATGATGATGGTGATGAAATGGGTGATCAAGAACAATCTGCACGTTACACAATACATTATCATACAATATGCGAAAGTAATCCTGTCTGTCTGTAACGCTTTCACGCCTAAACCACTGAAACGATTTTGATGAAATTTGGTATAGAGATAGTTCAAATTCCATGAAAGGACATACTTAGGATAGTTTTTATCCCGGTTTTTGAAACAGGGACGCGCAGGACAATGCTTTTCTGTGACATACAAAATTTTACGCAGGCGAAGCCGCGGCTTGCTAGTAAATTACTGTAATTCGAGAAAAAACCTTTGAAGAAAAACCTTGTATGGACTATGGATCATATTCTGACAATACCCACATTGTTGTAGCGGTGTGGTAGGTTAAAATATATTGACGCGGACGTGTAAAAGCGCTTTTGTAAGGCCTTACAGCGAAAAATAATTACTTTTTACGCTATCGATGACGCAAAAGAGGGTTAATGTATTTATTTTTTACCTTTACTAAGTAGAATATAGCTTACATAAAAACCAAAAGGTATACTTTCACATGAGTTATATCATATTTCAATTTAATAGAGATAGATATCAATCATAGTTTGCTGTATCTCATAACTACTGAATGTTACACCCGTATTCACAAACATTACTATGAGGTCTCACAGTGCGCGTGGACGCACAGGGTGACACACGGACCAATCACAGAGCTCTTTCAACGCTGTGCGTTCTATTTGCTGCTTCACTTAAGCAAGCATCGTTTGTGAATACGGGGATAGTTTTCTAGAGCGGTGACAAATGCTACCTAAATAAAAACACGTTATAACAAAAATGACAATAAAAACTTTTAGATTATTACTTCGCTAAAATGTAGAGGTAGGTACCTACTTACTGAAATAAGAAATCTCTATAATAAATTGTTTTATACTGTCATTAAATCATAAAAGTTATACGACTTTCCTCAGTAGTCGACAAACAATTAGTGAGTAGGTTTTCTCAAGATGTTTTTCCTTTTGTTCTCGCTGTCTGCGATTGTTTTTTTAGTTTGTTTGTTGTTTATGTTTACTCAAGTAGTGTTTATAAGTTAATGTTTAGACAACAGATTGCGTTGCTATGATGATTTCCTTTTTAGCTTTACTTTTATCTGCTACTGGTTTCGTCCGATGGTTGAATAAACAGAGGCTATCGACTTATAGAGTTTTATAGGTTTAATTAAATCAAAAATTTGACCACTAGTGGCACTTATAAACGTCAAATTTGGTTCATGTGTCACCCTGTGCGTCCACACGTACTGTGAGACCTCACAGTAATGTTTGTGAATACGAACGTTATAACCAATCTATGCATTTATTTCCGATTTTGTTAGAACGCTGCAGGCTAAAATAAATAAAACATAAACATGATTCTATATTTCGGAGGGCACATCAAGTTTTAATTCCAATTCGCGGCTCACCAGGTTTGACACCTTAAAATGTTGCTTAGCCACCCTCTGTAGTTTCGGAAAATTGTATTGTGAAAGCAATTCAGAATAGGCATCTAGTGAAATATCGCTATACACCTATACAAACTGTATGTAATTACTTATAAAAAAATGTAGAGAAAATCTTTTAAAATGAAATGGATGAATGCTTCT